TATATATATTTTAAATGTTTTTGTAGCTAACATAAAAGGTCTTGCTGCTTAGTGCCAACCCTAAACAAAACTGTGGAACTTATTTTTATCTCTGGCATTTTAACATCCATTTGCTAAGAACTGCTCACTTCTTTTCTTTCAAAAAAGGCCTTACTCAACTCCCACTGCCTGATGAAGGTTTACTATCATTTATAGTCCAAATGGGAACCAAGTGTATTTTAACAGGGAACCAAACCATACAGCTAAGGGAATGAATCTCTACAACTAAAATTTGAGGTCAGGAGTTATTTGGAGAAGAGTTCTTTTTTCTCCCCCGAGGGACACAGAAATCTTCCCAGCTACCCTAAAACTTTCCCATGTAAGCACCTGCCTGCTCCACTTCTAAAGTTGGTCTTGGCATTCTTAGCAAAATGATGGATTCTAAATGTCATACAACTTGAGTTTCTTTCCAAAGTATGTGTCAGTTATGAAAGAAAAATTGTTTTTCTACATAACAGAATAAGGGAAAATAGGAAAAACGTATTTGGGAAGAAATAACAGTATTTTTAAATACAATTTTTACACAGCCAAAGAATTGCTGGTATTTGGTTCCTTTATTGAATCTGAGAAAAAAATTTTGAAGTCTTCCTAACAGAATGACCAAAACCTCTTAAGTACCTGGTATAATACTTAAAAGCCACTGTATTTACTTTGCTAAAAGTTTTTTCCTCATTAACTCTTGTATATATTTGTGTAAAATAATGTGTTAATAAATTTCAAAGATATAAAAAGGGTACAAACTGTATTTGTATGAAAATTCTAAGGAAAGTTAATCCATATATTTATGTTTTAAGCATTCTCCAATGTTACTTTAAAAAATTTTTTTGTTTTCTCCATTTTTAAGTGTTTTGTGTCTCTTTATATAAACTGAGAAAAGTAATTTTGAAAAATATCACTGAGCACACATCTATTATCATTTTTTCTTTCTTTCTTTCTGTTTTAGTTTTTTTTTCCCGGTACCGGGAATCAAACTCATGACCTTGCGCTTGCCAGGCAGGTGCTGTGCTGCTGAGCTAAATCCCCAGCCCCCATATTATCATTTTTTCTATCAATTAAAATACTATGTTACCTTTATTTATAAACTATGTGTACCTGATTATTTTTGTCTTTTTGAGACAGGGTCTCACTATGCAGTTCAGGCTGGCTTTGAGCTCACTTTGTAGCCCAGGCTGGTCTCGAACTTGCAACGATCCTCCTGCCTCAGCCTCCCGAGTGCTGGGATTACAGGCATGCGCCACCACGCCCAGCATGCACCTGATTTTTTAATGACATTTTAGACATGCACTAGAGAAAATTGTGTAAAGAAAGACATTATTTCAAAATTTTCATAAAATAATGCCATTATGTTAAGAGAATAGTAAAACTGTCAGTATCTTTTAGACTGCTAACTTAGGGGAATTCAGAATGAAGTAAGCAAATCTTTTTTTTTTTTTTTTTAGATATTGGGCTATGTAGCACAGGTTGGCCTCAAACTCACAGTGATCCTTCTGCCTCAGCCTCCCTAGTGCTAGGATTACAGGTATGCACCACTACACCCAGGTTTTTTGTCTTTTTGAGACAGGGTTTCACTAAGCAGTTCAGGCTGGCCTTGAACTCACTTTGTAGCCCAGGCTGGTCTTGAACTCACAGTGATCCTCCTGCCTCAGTCTCTTGAGTGCTGTAAGTAAGAAAATCTTAAGAAAACAATGATTTATACTAAATTTCGTTTTTTCTGATTGCTATAGTTCTTATTCTAGTTGGGCATAAAAATAATTTTGGATTATAAAGATGATAAAATACAGAAGCATGGACTAAAGGCAAGAAATCATCTGGCGGAGACAATAATCATTTGTCCATATTATCTTAGGGTACAGCTGGGTTGAGGGTTCCTATATGACTCAAGGTCGTATACTTCCCATATAAATTGCCCACCAGCCCTTTTGCAGAATACCAATTTGCCCAGAGAGCAGAGTACTTCAAATAGGAGGGAGTCAGTTTTCCATCTTATCATTTTATGAGTGGCTGGTCAGAAGAGTGACTGCTGCACATACGAACAGCTACTCTCTTTTACACTTGCAGCTGTAGATCAGCAAACCACTATTTTAAGTGGTAAGTGGTCTCTCCGACTCCCAACAGGAGGAAAGTCAAAGCGCTTACCACCCTCTTCGCTCTGCCAGGCCTCTCCACAGAGAATCTGTCCGGACCATTCTCTCGATGAGCTTCTTCCAGAGCATGCCGTCGGACGTCACTCGGTACCACTCTTTGCACACAAGCTCAGCAGCACACAGGGATTTGGCATCCAAATAGGACAGAATGTTCTCAGCAATGTGATCCAAACCCCGAGCTTGGTGGGGGAGGCAGAAGGGGTGGTGAATGATTTTTTTTAACAAAGGGCCTTTGAAACAATATAGCACTTGTTCTGGTAGGAAGGCACATCATTATCCCTAGTGTGGTCCAGTTTCTTTTTCAAACAGAGGCTTGGGTAAAATGAGTGTCAATAATTTTTCCATAAGGTTACAGAAATGAACAGTATTTTCCATTTTCCTTTAGATAAGGAAGTTAAAGCTAACAACCAGCAAAGCCCCAAGACATTAAAAATAAAAAGGAGTCCAGAAAACAATTCACATTTATCTATATGGATTTCAGCACTAGGGGATGTTCTATGGATGGTATCTCAAACTCTGTGATTCAGATCTCCCAAATCTCTATATTAGGTCCATTTCTCATTCTGTTTCTATTACTGCTGTAGTTCCAAAGCTATTCAGTAAAAGAAATATCCTTTAAATGTACTGGGGGAGAGGCACTAAGTCAAAATGTGCTGGGTTATAGAATTTTGGGCATGCAGAAAGGAGAAGGAAATACAGATTGGTACAGGAACATCTCGAGAGGGAAGATCGAGAGCTTTAAGTTCAAGGATGAGTTTAATTTCAGACTATATTTGAGAACAGTGACTGTGATAGAACCTAAATAACTGGCTAAAAATGAAAAAAAAAAAACAAAAAAACCACCCTAGACCAATACATAACTTGCTAGCATTTCAGAGGATATTTTGTTGCAAGTGTAGAGGAAAACAGTAGCAAGGAGATATGGGGCTGTATACATACGAGTGGGCTTCCCAATGTAAAAATTCTACTACCCAAATGTACAGTGAGGTGCTGGTGAAAAGAGCATATAAAGTAGGGTGACTGCACTGTAAATCTTCCTTTGGCTGATGTTCTAAGTTCACAAGTGAGACACAACGATCAAAGGTGCTGGGCATGGAGGTGCACGTCTGTAACCGCTACATTCTCTGGGCAGCTCAGGCAGAAGGGTTCCAAGTTTGAGTCCGGCCTGGGCAACTTAGAGAGAGCCTGTTTCAAGATAAGACACTAAAAGGGCTGAGGGTGCAGGTTGAGAGTGCGAAGACGCTGGGTCCAGGCCCCGGCGCCGCACACACAGGAGGTGCTCTCTGCGCAGACTCCCCCACAGGCACATGACGGGAAGGAGCGAGAACACCGCACTTCACTCTGCGCCTTTCCCCAGTCACACAGACACACACTTGGGCGCCGTCACCAAGCACTGAAATATGCTTATTAGACATTATTCTGATTATAAAGATTATATGGGTGTCACATTTCTCTGCAGACTGGGGAAAGAAAGCATGAAACGGATCTTGTTTGGCTGGCATCACACGCTCACATTTAAACATAAGCAGATGGAGGCATCCATCATCTAATTCTTATTAAAGGAACAGGACAAGAAGCCAATTAAAGATGTAATAATTGGTTCTTCATACAGAATACAGCGATGATATAATTCTTGAATCTTTTCATTGAGAACTTTCCACACTATCAGAAGTTTACAGGCCGGGCGTGGTGGCGCATGCCTGTAATCCCAGCACTTGGGAGGCTAAGGCAGGAGGATCATCGTGAGTTCAAGACCAGCCTGGGCTACAAAGTGAGCTCAAGGCCAGCATGAACTGCACAGTGAGACCCTGTCTCAAAAAGACCAAAAAAAAAAAAAAAAAAAAGAGAAGAAGTTGTTTACAGAAGGAATATCTATGTTTTTAAGAGCCACCATTAAATTCCCCCTGATCACTGACTATGTACCTAAAATAAATCTTTGGAAGTAATTTCACCTAATGCTCCAAACAAAACCATTACATTAATGGATTCCAGGCATTTTTGGAAGTACTTTGGTAAATGTATCCAGATGGCATAGGTTTGTAAGTTTAAATGGCTGTAAAGCGTTAGACTGATGATTCAATACCTCATAGGCTGGTCATCAGATACACAGTAGAGATCGGTATGGGCAAAACACACAGGTTTAATCAGTGCCTGTTCAGTTCCCAGAGGTATAAGCTGGAGACAGGACCATGTTCTAGGAACTGGGGAGAGCACAGTAATAGGTACACTCTGATTGTACAAAGAAAACTGTCTGCCCATGGCTAAAACAAAATCCAATGTGTTATGAGAGGGAAGAAATCTACTTTATAGAAGATACAGATAAAATTCAGTTTCACAGTGGTTATTTCTAAGTATAATTTGATTTTAAAGGTTAATTTGCAAAGTTAGAAAAATAATTTTAAAGAGCTGTAACTGGCAAAGATTAAACAAAGTAGTGATATGCAGTTCTGAGGACACTACAAGTTGGTTTATTATTCTTAGAGCACATCTTGCTAGCATGTTTCCCAAGCACTGGAAACATTTATATTCTCTCATATAGTAATTTCACTTCTAATATTTTTCCGTAGGATGCTTACAACAGTAATGTAGAAGAAAGTCTGTCGTGGCATAATTTATAATAGGTAAAGTAATCTGAAATGACTTACATTTTTTTCCCTCTGCAGTACTAGAGACTGACCCGTAGGAGCCTTCACACTGAGCTACATTCCCACCCCCTTTTATTTTTTATTTTGACAAAAGGTCTCGCTAAATTGCCCAGGCTGGGCTTGAACTTGCCACCCTCCTGACTCAGATCTCCCCGTGTGCTGGAATTACAGGCATCCACCATCAACCTAATTCTAAATTGTCAACAGAACGGTAGGGTATAGGTGTTCAAAACACTGTGAAGAACATTATACAACAGCTAAGAAGTATGTGAGAACAGAGTACCTTAATGTATTTAGTGAGAATACATGAAGAAAATGTTTTATGAACCATTTATGATCACAGCCTTACAGGGGAATATCTCTATCTCTATCTCCATCTCTGTCTCACTCTGGAAAAAAAGAGGGTATATGCCAAAATACCAATAGCACAACTGGTAATTCTCTCTGCATGTGTGGTTTTGGAAAATTTTATTGTTATATCTTATCCTATTTTTATTTTCTAGATTTTCTCTAACTTCTATAATCAGCATATGACAACCAAAATAAAAAAAGCAAAATTCCCTCAAGACAAAATATGCTTTAGACAACACTCATTCACCTTGGTATTATTTTTTTATTTTAAGTAAACTTTTAGCCAGGTGTGGTGGCACACACCTATGATCCCAGCACTCGGGAGGCTGAGGCAGGAGGATAGCCAGGAGTTTGAGGCCAGTCTGGGATATACAGTGAGTTAAAGGCCATACCCTGCCTCAAAAAACCCTGCCAACAAAATGAAACCACCCAAAAAGAAAGAAATAACATTTTAACACAGATAAGAACAAAATGCTCACATTTTTCAGAGCATTTCTCCCCAATACTAATGTCTTTGTAGTATTCTAAATTACCATTAAGAATTCAGAAAAGTTACAGCACCCCTCTAAAGAAACCATTTTTGGGCTAGGCATACAGCTCAGTGGCGCAAGTGCCTGCCTTGCAAGCACGAGGTCCTGAGTTTGATTCCCAGTACCCTCACCCCCAAAAAGCGTTTTTAGTATTATTTAAGTATAGATATAAAAGGCAGGCATGGTGGCACATGCCTGTAATCCCAGCACTTGGGAGGCTGAAGCTGGAGTGAGCTGAGAGACCCAGTCTCCAATCAATCAATCAATCAATGAATCAATACAATACACACACATATTTAACAAGGTTCTCCTTCTACAATACTTAAAAATGTTTCTTACTCATCTCTACAATTTAAGTATTCTGTGGATAAATTCCCACAGAAATCCAAACCCAAGTATATAAATTAATGTACCTTTTCTCTTTTCTTTTTAAAAAATGGATCAAACCCATGTCCTTACAAAACATACTACCCTGACATCCTCAGCCCTAAATTAACACATCTTAAAAACCAAAACACATTATAAAAGCTACACCTCAAATCAGATGACACTTCAGAAAAGACTGTATTTGGACATACGACAAGTAAGGCGCTGAACAACAGCCAGCCCCAGTGTGCACACCTGCAAGAAGATGGAGGCTTGAGGCCACCCTGAGCAGCTCAGCAGAATCTCAGCTTAAAAAGGCTTCCTGGGGTTCAACTCCCAGTACTGAACTTAAAAAAATGTGGGGTAAACAGAAGGGAAAGAGATCTGAAGACTAAGGAAAAAATAAGTCTTTGAGTTTGACTTTTTTGTATTTTAATGAGGAAGGTACAAACAAAGAACTTAATTTGTAAATATCAAGCCAATTAATACTTAGAGAAATACAGGCTGAAGATCAAGTTCTGCAGCAAGTTAATGGTATGCAAATACGTGCACACATACCTGGCAGAGCAGTTATGAAGTCCCGCTGCAACATAGGTTTCAGATAGGAGTTTATGTGCCCATGTTGGTAATGACACATTTGGGATATAAGATGTTCCACGAATTCCACTTGATCAGACTCTGACCACTGCTCAAAATACTTGACACACAGTTCTTTTTCCTTCTCATAGCTTGCTGAAAGTTTCCGTTGCTTGGACACAATCATACTGGAAGTGCCATTGGCGAGTTTTGTCTGCAGAAGGGGTATGATTAAAAGAGACACAACAGTAAGTATTGAAAATGAATGAAATTTCATGTATTCATGTATTTCTCTCTCATTCTTTTTATCTCTCTGTGTTTGTCTGTCTGTCTCTGGCCTGGCATGCTTTACTGTCTTTATGATTGAGCCCACACTTATTTTGGTAGTATCTGGACATTTGTGAACCACAGTTATTTCATGAGAGCCACAGAAATATCACAGTAAGGTGGTACAATTAGGTATACTAGCACACATTTCTAAAAGTTCACAGGATATTATTTAGAGATATAAAAACAAAAACCAAAAGTGAAAAAGCACATTATTTCTAGCAAGCAAAAAGTAGTAGTTACCGGACATTCAATTACTTGCAATGTGTTTTTTAGGAGTCAAATAAGTGGTAGTCTGTGCAAAGAAATGGTATTTTGGGACTGTGTGGTAATATCTGGAGATAAAGCTTCTTCAATAACCCTCATGTCAGTAAGCTTTCCCTTCCAAAAATCTCCCCTCCATAGTCATCCAAATTAGATGATATGGGGCTGGGGATGTAGCTCCACAGTACGGCACTTGCCTGACAAGCACAAGATCCTGAACTGAATTCCCAGTACCAAAAAACTAAACAAAACAAAAACCAGATGCCATAAAGCTTTTTAATTAATTGATTCATTAAGTAGTTGAGCTATGTGCCAAACACTATCGTTGGTGATAATAGTACCATAAAGAACAAAAATGACACCATGAACATTTAGTTTAGAAGACACATTAAAGATAAGTAAACAAACAGAAAACATAATATAGACTGTGTTGTGAAGAAAAATAAAAAACAAGATAAAGAGACAGAAAAAAGTACATTATGCTGGGCGTGGTGGGACATACCTGTAATCCCAGCAATCAGGAAGCTGGGGCAGGAGGATCACCACAAGTTTCAGACCAGCCTCTACTACATAGTGAGTTCAAGCCCAGCCTAAACTACACAGCAAGATGCTATCCTTTCACAAAAAAACAGAAACAACGACGAAACAACAAGCAAAAACCAAAACAGGGGCTGGGGATTTAGCTCAGCGGCAAAAGCGCCTGCCTGGCAAGCGCAAGGTCGTGAGTTCGGTTCCCGGTACCGGAGAAAAACCAAAAAAAAAAAAAAAAAAAAAAAAAAACAAAAACCAAAACAAAGAATGGGGGCGGGGCAGATGGCATCACAACAGGCAAAACTCTAAGATGACATCCCGACCCAAGGTTCTTGGTTCCTGTAATACAGTACACATGCCTTCCTCTCACACATTCAAGCAAACACTCATGTAAGCCACTGTTAAAGGAATGCCCAAATGCACTGACTTTAGGGTAGGGAGATTACGCAGGTGGGTCTGACTAACATGAAACCTCAATGCAGCTTCCTTCAGCTGGTTATGAAGGAGGAAGGAGGGCATGTGGCAGGGGACGTGGGGGATGTCACATCCTCTGGGATGTGACTGACAGCAAGGAGGTGGGACTTTCAGTCCTACCATGGCAAGGAACTCACGTCAGCCAACAGGAGGTGAAAAGAGGATTTACCCTGACAGTTGCCAGATGAGAGCTCAGCTCAGCCCACACCTTGACTGACTACGGTCTTGTGTTACTCTAAGCAAAGAACATGGCCATGTACCAGGCTTCTCAACTACAGAACTGTGCAGCAAATATGAAAATACATATTGAAGTCTATCTGATCTCAGGCAGTTTTCTTAAAGAGAGGACATTTGAACAAAGACAAAAGAAATGAGAGCAATAGCTCTTTTCCTTTTTTCTTTTGGTACTGGGAATAGAACTCAGGACCTTGTGCTTGCCAGGCAGGTGCTGTGCCACTGAGCTACATTCCTAGCCTCAAGTGGCTCTTTTCTTAGATGGGGAAAGAATGGTCTAGGCAAAGGGAATTTTGACAGCAAAGGTCCTGGGAGGTAGTCTATCTGGCATGCACCAGAAACGTGGACCTGGTGCAGTCAGAACTGAGCGAGCAAGGAGAAATATGGCGATACAAGTAGCCTGAGCTGTATCATCCATGTCTCTGGGTGGTGGTAGCTAATCTCCAAACACCAGCCGTATTTCTACATAGGTAAATGCTTGTTCCTCCCATCAAGGGTGGAATTTAAGGGCTGAGGATGTACCTCAGTGGTAAAGGGTTTGCCTGTGTGTCAAGGCTCTTGGTTCAATCCCCAGTATGGCCAAAAGGGGGAGAAAAGTGGAATTATGTCGTATTTTTTAATCTGGGCTTTGACTAGCAGAATATGGAGATAGTCACATTCTGGAACTTCTAAGCCTGTGCAGCAGCTTCTTGGAGCCTTGAGCTAGAGTGGAAGTTCAGGCTATCAGGTTACCCTACCAGAAAAAGAGGTGTGGAGGTTGAAGAGGTGAGCAGAGAGACTAAAGCATGAAGTGAAACAGGCCAATTCTTAACCACTTCAAGTGTCCATTAAAAGGGATAACAAATTCCTGAATTAGTGTGGCAGCTGTAGACATGGATTTAGTATATATTCCAACAGCAGGTATAATAAAATCTGCTCATAGACTGGGTTCTAAGGATACCAGAAAGGGAGCAAGGACCATACTCAAGTTTGAAGCAGAGCAGGTTGTGGTGGGGACTAGGTAAAGATTTAGAAATCAATAGAAACTTCTGCTGAAGTGAAGATGGTTTTCTATAGAGGACAGGGCTTGGGACATAGCTCAGTGGCACAAGCGCCTGCCTGGCAACTGCAAGGTCCTGAGTTCGATTCCTGATACCAAAAAAAAAAAAAGCTTAGTAACTTCCATAGAGGATAACAAGTCTGCACAACTGGGTACAACCCCAACTTGTCAAGGAGACCCACGTTACTAAAAGAGTTCATCCCTGCCTAAACAAACTTGAATGGCCCATAAAACAGTACCAAATTTGGATAATATACATTTGCTATTTAAGACACTGGCTTGCCTTACTTTCTAAATGTTAAGTCCTATCCACCACGCTCTTTATAAATAGTACATGATACACAGATGAAAACATGTTTTCAAGAATGGCATTAAGCTATTCTGTTTACAAGGAAAAAGCTGACACCTGTAAACATCAAGCTCTGGTATGCAGAATGCTTTTTAGGATAAATGTCACTGTTGTCTTTGATAGAGACTAAAAATGATTAATAAGAACCTTGTTAGACACAGGCACTGGGGGACTTTGGGGTTGCTTTTCCTATGGGTTATTTATTTGCATCTCAGAAAAGAAAGTCATCAAAGATGGAGTAAGAGTTGGAGAGCTAACAACCAAGTGGGTTGATAAACTCAACCAAAGATATATCCTCACAATCAAAACCTCCCATCTTGTCACTGTCTATCTCTTTTGTCTTCTAAAAGGTAGTAAAAAGGTAGTACCCAGCTTGAGTATTACCCAGTAATGTCTTCTGGCTGAAGTCCAGAAACATCAGCAACAGAGAACAATCAACAAGTTAATAAAATGAGTCTTTTTTTTTCTTGAACAATCCATGTATTTCTATAATCACAAACAGTTGTGTTTTCATCACTGGCTATCACACTGTTAGGTAAAACTACCTAAGGACTTAACAAGCTTGTTTACTCTACTGCAGGAGCTGACGTTCAGAGGAGACATTCTTACACTTTCCATGATCATATCATAAATGGAACTTAAAAGGTCTGGCTATTACAGATGAAGATTAAACAGAGTTCATGTATTTACTAACTGTTCTGCGCTGTTCTGGCTAGTAAATAAGACAATTTTCTCGTGTAAAAGACATATCTCACTTCCAATGAGCTACTCTTAATTATGACTCCATATTATATTGTTTAAAAGCTTTGGCCCTGGAGTGAAAAGACTTAGTTTCAAATTCTAGCTTTTCAGTGTATCAGCTGTGTGACACGAACTGCGCAACCTCAACTTGCCATGCTGTTTCCCTCAAGTGCAAAGCGAGGAGTAATAATGGGACCTAGGGTCGAGCGGTGGGGTGACACAGCCCACTGGTAGAGCCTGCCTAGCACATGTAAGGTCTGAGACCCACCATGTGGAAAAAACAAAGTCCATGAATAATAGAAACTGTCTCATTCACCATCTAGCATACAAAATAATCAACTTTTTCTTTTTTCCAGTTCTGAGGACTGAACTCATCACCTCCTACATGGAAGCAAACCCTCAACCACTGAGCTCCATCCCCAGTCCTAACTCAGCATTCTGAAATAAACTCTGGACACTGCTGGACTTCGGCTTTCCCCTGCTTTTTCTCAAATATAGCCTTTATCACTATGAAGTATATATAGAGATTTTTAAATTTGAATCCTTTACTATACATAAAAGGGCACAACTTGGGTGTACAGCTCCACGAAATCTTCATGAGGTACACACACACTTGTAGCCAACACCAAGATCAAGGAACGGGTCATCCCAAGCCTCACAAGCCCCTCTGTAGCCCTTTCAGGTCCAGCCACCTTCAGGATAACCAGTACACTCATTTCAATTTTAAAAAGAATGTACTTTTGAAAACCATCTGTGCAAAAAATTTAGTATTTAGGAATAAAAAATATTTAGGAATAAATGTGACAAAATACAGAATACCTGTAAACCACAAAACACTGCAAACAAATTTTTAAAAGATTTAAATAAATGGAGAGACAGGTATTATGTTCATAAATTAGATTCACTATTGTTAAGAGGCTCTTTTCAATTGACCTACAGAATTAGCAGGATATCAGTCAAACTCACAACAGATTCTAAAAATTTGTATTGAAATGCAAAAGACCTACATTTAGCTAAATATCCCCCTAAAGAAAAAAGACATACTACTGAATTTCAAGATGTGCTACAGTAATCAGGACTGTGGTTTCAGTGTAAGGACAGAAGTGTAAATCAATGGAATGGAATAGTCAGAATACAGTCTAGAAGCAGACTCATGTATGACTTAATTGATTTTTGAGAAAGGTGCTAACATAATTAAGGGGGTAAGAGTTTCCATATAGGAAAAAAATGACCTGTTTCTTACCTCATACCATAT